GCGGGAAGTGGGAGGGGGCGGATAGAGGGTGGGGGCCAAGCTGTTTGGGGAGGCACAGCCTTCCCTACCTGGCCCTCCATACAGTTTGCAACCCCAATGTGGCCCTCAGGCCAAAAAGTTTGTCCACCCCTGATCTAAAACAAAGAAAATCCTGCTTTCCTGATCCCCACACTCCCTTTTCCTTCAAGGTAACATAGTCTGTCAACCTCTTGAAACATACACATAAATTGTGTAGCCTTAGCATTACTGTTGATACATTTTTTCACTCTTATTTTTATAGTAAATGTAATGAGGTCATGAAAAATGTTCACTTTAAGTAAGGGATCACCAGCCTGAAATGGTTGAGAAACACTGGCCTAGGGGATGGAAATGAAAGATGCAGCATCAAGGACATTATGGAAGTGGGACCCCCAGAGACCCCAGAGGACTGGCTACAGACTTACAGAAAGTACAGAGATTTCAACCCCACAAAAGTCGCTGGGAGGATCTTGGCAATTCTGTTGTTATCCAGCATTCTGAAATGAGAAGAGAGAAAGGTGGTGACCCAGAAGAACAGACTTTAGATGGAGAGGCAACTCCATAGGAACAAAGTAGGGGCTATACTAGGTTAGGAAGGAGAGACCGTCTCACAGGCTTACATTTAGGTCTAAATTGTCCCTGCGGGAGATGGTTTCTTCCTTTTCTCCCTGACAGCAGAAATTCAGGTAACATCAGCTTCCTCCTCTCCTTCACTGCCTGGTCCCTCCCCCGTCCATCTTCGCCCCCCACCCAAGCCAGTGGAGATGAGTACATAGATCACCCCTTTGAATTTCCACCCAGAGCATTCTGGCTGATGTGCTTGCTCCAAGTTCAGAGTCTGGTTTCTTTCACAATCAGGGGACTACTGGATTTTTTTCTTTTACTACAAAAATAAATGCTAAATTAAAAGTCCACTTGGGGAATTTGAGATTTAAGGGCATGTCCGGCTCCTCCAAAGATTTTGTGGCCAGGTTTGCCTGAATATCTGGGATAATACTCGAACAGTGGGATTCATTAGGCTGGGCAAGATGCCGTTGAAGCCAAGAGTTTAGCAAGATTCCCACGTGGATTAGACCTCTATATGGTTAAGGAGAACATCACAGTGATATTAGATGGGACTCTAAAGGGCTGGAAGCCTGGGAAGTTCTCTCTCCAGGCTTAGCTAAGCTCAATAAGGCAGCCATCTTGCAAAGCAGACATTATTGTTCTACTTTGCTAATGATCCCTGTATGGGCTCCATATGCAGCACCAGAGACCTGAGGAAGAACTGCCTGGGTGCCCATACAGGGATCACTAGAGAAGAGGAACAATAATGTCTGCTTTGCAAGATGGCTGCCTTACTGAGCTTAGCTCAGCCTGGAGAGAGAACTTCCCAGCACTTCAGAGTCCCATCCTCATAATTTGCCACCTGATCAACCAACTTCTCCCGTAAATAGCCTAGAAAAAACCTGAGGAGCAGCTTACTCAGGGTGGTCCCGAGTGCCAGTCTGCCACCAAATCTTTCTGGGGAGCCAGGCTGGCATATGAACACACACTGCCATGCCTGATCAGACCAGTATTTGGTCCCCCTAGGCCAGTATCCTGTCTCCAATAGTGGCCAGGAATGGATGTTTCAGAACGTTCAAGAAGCCCCATTGTGGGCAATTACGGAGTAACCTGCCCAGAGAGAATGTTTCTTCCTAACCCCATACATTACCGGTTGGCTTATGCCCCATTGCAGAAGGGTTTATATCTCTGATATGCTTAATCCAATCTAATATCACTGTGATGTTCTCCTTAACCATATAGAGGTCTAATCCACGCAGGCATCTTGCTAAGCTTTTGGCCTCAACAGCATCTTGCCCAGCCTAATGTTCGAGTATTATCCCAGATATTCCGGCAAACCTGGCCTTAAACTCAATTCCATCCCCTTCCTCCTCACTGAACCCCGGTGGGCCACCCAATGGAAAGAGGCACTTACAGCCATTCAAGATGATGCAGATCCTGGAAGACTCTTGGCTTCAGCTCAGTGATGTTATTGTGACTCAGGAACCTGGAATTGTTAAAGAGAAGAGAAGAAAAGTGACCTTGGGTAGATGCTGTTGGTTAAACTGGTTTTTATTCATCATCCATTTCCCGACAGCAGCTCCCCTAAGCCTTATTTTAGGGGTGTGAATGGGGATACCCTCACGTCATCTGCATTTTGCAGGGGCAAGCCTGATTTGGAATGAATCATGTGGGGAGGGGAACATGAGAGAGAAACATTTGTAAGAGCCAGAAGTCCTCCCTCCCCCATAACATGGTGCTCTAATTTCAAACATCGTTCTTGCTGGGGAGGGCGGGTACATTTTGTTCAGACACATGTCTCCAGAGGTGCTGCTAGACCACGTGCCTTTAGGCTGCATTCATTCTGTGCTAAGAGGGCTGAAACACGGAGACTGTCAATAACCCCCTCTCCCCTGCAACCCACAACATGAAAAGCTTTTACTCACAGCATTTTAAGCTTGGAAAGTCCAGCAAAAGCATGGGGCAGTATTGACTGGATTTCGTTGTGCTGTAAGAGGCTGTTTACAAACCAAACAGAAATATCTCAGGGTTAATAGGGTTTCCACAGTGCTCCCAGCCCCTCCTGGTCCCCAGGACTGAATCAAACCTGTATCACTTCTGCACAGAAGTACAGAGCGCTAGCAGCCCTGCCCACCCCTCAGAGAGCTCAGGACTAAGCAATGAAACAGTCTCTTGCACAGCAATGTACAGCACTCCCATCCCCAGTAGCCCAGGGAGTGAGAGACCAGCACTGGGAATGGACCACAGTGAAGGGGAAGATAAAAAAAGTACAGGACTGGCAGTCAGGAGTTGGAGGCTTGAGTCCTGGCCCTGCTAACAGGCTTTCTGTGCAACTTTGGGAACGTCACTTCCACGTTCTCTGCCTTAGTTTCCCCATCTGAGGGGAGTGAAGATGAAAGAACAAATGCTTGGAAATCATTAATGGCAGCTCTGAGATCCTGGTGCACTAGAGACAAGCACGGCACTATTATTATTATTACAAGCAAGGACGCTAGGCCGGGATCCAACCTGAAAGAACAAAATCTGTTCTGAGTGATCTCAGATCATAAACTCGCTGACGTATCAGGCTGGAAATATCTTGTTTGCCCAAGTGAAATGACTTGTAGAAAAGGTGCTGGAATCTTCCAGGACAGAGAGCTGTTTGCTGTTCTCCCCTCTGCCATTTAACAGCCATGCTGGACTCTGAACCACCCAGACCCCATGTTATGTGAGCAAAAAGGTCACTTTGATTCCTCACCCCCTACTTAGCACATTATAATGGAAGCAGTGCAGGAAGGGCCCATGATATCTATGACAGATACCCACTGACTTCAATGCGTACTGGATCAGACCACATACAAAGTAACACAAGCACTGACAGAGCCAGCCAACCACGCTCAGTGATAACTAACTAAGGAACAATTGTAAACAAGGCCTTACCACAACCCTCCCACTTTCTCTGCTCCTCTGACTCTGAAGCCGAACGCCCAAGAGGTGCGATGGTGGATTATTAAAATGAGAAAAGCCGCAGCCTCTGAGGGCACAGGGCCCTGCCAGGCTGAAGAAGTCATCATCTCTTGCCTAACCAAACAAGGTCATCATCTCTTGCCTAACCAAACTGGTCCTGCATAATATGGGCTTATTCTTTTAAATGTGGCGCTGCTGACTCAGCAAATTTGCTACTCTTCCTCCTTCCCCTTCCCCCCTCCCCCCATGCCCTTGTTGATGAGCTGGCCGCTCTGAGGGGGTGGTACTTACAGCTTCTCCAGACTTCCGTACATGATAAACTGGTTGTCCCACAGTGAGTGGATTTTATTAATATTCAGAACCCTAGGGAGGGGTGGAAAGAAAAACCAGGGACCACTGATCAAGAAATACATTGTGAACAGTTAAGAAATGCAGGTCTCTTTACTCCCCCCAGCCTCCCCCAGGTAAAGTCCCCTCTTCCTATCTTATCTGAGTAACGTGTGAGACGGGTGGCTCTCTGCTATCCATTACTGATCGCATTTGCCAACAGCAGTTCTTGAACTGCCTGCATCATTTTTGACACCTGAGGGTTTTGAGTGCTGCAACCCTTCCCCCCCCCACCCCGATTCCTGTATGCAAATGGCGTTTGCCTGCTCAGACTGAGTGGCCAGGCTCGTTCTGCCGTCTGTGCATGCCGCTCAGATGTCATGAGCGCAAAACGCTGCATGGCCCCAAATATCGGACATGCCAATTTTTTAGGCAAGGTTCACAGCCCCTTGCAGAGTTATTCACCCTCGGTAGAAAGGGGCTAGAGAAATGCAAAGGGTCCATTATTTAATGCCAATAATCCAGGGAAAGACAACAACTCAGTACAAACTAATGGATGGGAAATTCATTCCGTTTGATGTCAAAATTTTCTTCTTGCCTTCACAGCAAGCACTTTGCAGTTAGGCCTACCCTGGGGGATGAAGCCTGGGGCTTTGGCCAAAAGGCTCACAGTTTACCAGCCATCTCTCCAGCTATTGGTGGCTTAGACCTCTCTTACCTGATTGGCACAGAGCACCTGGCAGCAGCACCTCCAGCATTAAAATACAGCCTCATGGGTTTGATCATAGAGGATTAGGGAAAAGCTGAGATTTGAGCATTTGGGGCATCCTTAATCTAAGCAATAAAGGTCTCCTTGTGATAATCCCAGACTCAGTTTGCTAGATAACAGGCACAAATTTCTCTGCATTATCACCTTTGGAACTAGTTTCCTCTGCAGCCTTGCCACTAGGTGGCACTACCCCCTTGATGATTGATGCTATGCAGCACAGTGAGACAGGCTAAAAATGGGAATCACCAGGGCGAATTTCCCACTGGCTCCAATTTTGCAAAGAAAGGGATACATTTACCCCATGGTGGCCCCTGTTACTCACAGCTTCGTCACGTTGGAGGAGACCCAGGGGACGGTGTGCAAGTTCTGGCCGGTGCAATCTATCGTCCTTCCCTGGCACTGGCATTCCTCTGGGAACCGGTCAAGCACTGGGGACAAGCACAAGGGAAACAGTGAGACTGGAGACAGACAGGATCTCAGTATATGGCTGGGCAGGTGAGCAGATAAAAGGACACACTGGTGCACAGAGAGGGGTCAGGGCTGGCTGGATATGTCGGGGTCAAAGGGGCACGGGGACGGCAGACACACTCCTAAAGAGCAACACGGGAGCAGTGGAGGGGATGAAAGGAGAGGCAGGGTGTGTGAAGGGAGAGGAGATAGAAGGGGAGAGATGCTTTCTTGAACTTCTCAGGTCTGGGCTGGGAATCTCGCAGGGCCAGCCTTGGTTGGGGTATTTCAGCACATCCAGGCCTGGACAGAACCAGGAAGACCAAAAAAGCAGATTCACCCTGGTGGGAGTGAGGGAGGGTGAGTCGAACTCCCCCAAACCTGAGCAAAGCTCAGTCTGAATTTTGGGTTAGGCTCCAGGGTGAGATTTTACCAACTTCCCAGGATCCCAACTTTAGGGCTTGTTCAAACCTCACAGGGTCACGAGGTAGCACCTTTGCCATGCAGGGGCAACCCTATCCCATTCCAGAGGGAGGGGCGTGAGAGACAGGAATGAAAGAGGGATGATGAGAGGGGAAAAGGGGCAGAGAGAGCACAAAAGGGGAGGAAGCGGTTGGAGACAGGAGGGCTTGAGCAGTAGCATGGGGAGGCTGGGGAAGACACAGTAGAAGAGGAGGAATACAAAGCCAGCACCAGGAATGGAAATACTCACCACAGACTGGGGTCTCCTCTTCCTTAGTGGCTCTGTTGCCCTTGGTTTGCTGCATGTCATCCAAGATCTGCAGCCACCCGCTATTATCCACTAGAAAAGAGAAGGCAGAAGTCATGCGGGTTTGTTCCCCCCTCTCCCCCCCCCGCATCTCACAGCAGACTCACTCACTGCTCCTCCCCATGCCCAGCCTCCCCCAGGCTCGCTCACCCCCACTCTGATTCCTGATCTTAGTGCTGGGAACCACGTGCTTGAGAGACGTTTACATCAGCGCTGGGCCTGAACCAAACACCTGGATCAGAATACCCCTGAACTCGGAGGGAGGGAATTCAGAATCTGACCTGAAGCTGGTTCTTGCAGTTGGAGCCCATTTTTATAAGCCTTAGATCCGAATCCCCTGAAACATGGGGTGTTCAAAACCTGGATCCAGCCCCATGTTTGGTGACTTCAGCCCATCTCTAGTTTACGCTAGCTCCTGCCCACTGCCCCTTTGACTCTCTACTGTGTCCTGACAGGATATTCCTCTTCTGCTGGGTCTTACATTCCTACATTTAAGGCTGGGATGATCTCTGTCTGACAACCCCATACCTAGACATCTGTGTCATTATTAGAAGGTCAGAGGAAATTGTACTCTCCCAGTAAGAGATTTATACCTTCAGTGATCACTGCAAGGCAGCCAGGTAACCATAAGTGACCCTTAAAGTCTGCCCCTGTGTTCATGTTCCCAGAATCCCCTTGAATATATTGGTGGTTCTGGATCTGGGATTTCCAGGTCCACATGGTTTATTAACTACAGGGCATCTGCCTTTGGTCTGGTGGCAAGGAGAAATGGAAAGAGGGGACAGGCTGTGAGGTTAGCTAATTACCGCAGTTCTCTTCGTCGGCACCGTTGTCGCAGTCCTTCTCTCCATTGCAGTGCAGGAGCTGGGGTAAACAGACAGACAGGTTGCCACAGGGGAACTGTCCCAAAGGGCAGGCATAGCTGTCCAGCCTGGAATGAACCAGAAGAGACTCTGCCAAAGGAAAGCAAGACACAGTCAAAAAGCATCCTTGAACAGGCCAGTCACCTGTCCCTGCCTACAGCTGGCTTAAGACCCTACCTCTCACCCTTGGCTTACTAGTGCTGATCTTGCCAGGACACGGCAATCCATTACTGTATGGTACCCTATTACTGCACATTAGCCCAGTCCCATCTGGCATGACTTATCAGTAGGATTCTAGCAGCACCAGTCCATCTGGACCATGCTCCTTGATTGTTCAGATGTCTCCCAGTGCTCTGGCAGGGTCTGAGAACTGCAAAGAGCAGACATGCCCTGACATTGTAAGAGCATGAAGAGATGTCTCACCATAGCCAAGAGACATTTCCCCTCCTCCCTCTCAAATGAGAGAACAGGAAATAGAAGCAGTAGCAAATTCTGCACCTCCATCCGACGATTCCATCTGGGACAGTGGAGGCATCTCAGAAAATGCTTGCAGAAAAATCATCATTATGAAAAACAATCCAGCACAGGTCAGTAGTGATGGCAAGATGTGCTCATCAAATGGCTGTTTTGTGGCCAACGTGAAAGACATGCCACAAAATCACCAGGACAGTTAATACTAATAGATTCTGCCACCGGATTATTGCTATTTACTGAGAACCATACAGCTTGCTGCTGTACATTATGTAAGGGGAGAGCTGGTTCTTGTGGTATGAAGCTCACTGTGGCACTATGTTCGATACAGACACAGACACATAGTCTCCTCTTGTAACTTGGTTAATTTAGTTTTTAAATCCTCATTATCTGCTGGGTGAATGGCCCTTGAAATGCCTGACAGGAGAAGGGGTGAGGTTCAGGAGGAATTTGGCTGATCATTGAGGCTGAAGTCCCCTAGGGGGTTGGGTTTCATGGGAATGGATAAGGCACATTGAGGGGGATGAAGAGGGGGAGCCATGCTGTGCCTGCTCTGAGGAGAAATCGAGGCCATCGGTCTCCGGGACTGTCAATCCAGCATCTTTCCCCACCACAAGAAAACTACAAAGGAGGACACGAGACCCGACACTGACTTCCCGCCTACATGACTCACTCCAAAGTGTCCTCCCTCTGGGCTTTGGGTGGCAGGACTGCTCCGCAGGACATGGGCCATGCTCAGCGGGGTATGTGTGAGGTGATGGGGTGCCAGCGACAATCAAGATAAGGCCCTTTAGGCAGGAGGTCGCTGTCACTCCTACTCTGTTTGGAGCTGAAACCCACTTATGTTCCAAGGGGGAGTAAAATAACTCCTGCTGGGTCAGACATCAGATCTCCAGGGCTGGCCAGGTTACTTCCAGCCAACATGGGGTCACTCCCTAATGAGACACAAAGGAGTTGGAGATCTATTAGACTGTGAAATGGTGGCTGCTGCATCCTTTATGTCACTGAAAATCAGACTGGAGAATAGACTGTAGGGGCCAAACCTGCACTGGCCGGGGAGCTGGACTAGATGGGACCTCGGCAGAGGAGCAGGAGGTGGCTTGACTCACACTGACTGCTCTTCTAAGATGGCAGCAACCTCAGGAAAAGGTGTAGAGGGACCCTCTGGTGTGGGGAGTGACAGCCCCTTCTCTGGGGTGGTTCCAGGCGGCACAGCAGAGAGGCAGCTTGGTGTACAGGCTGAACTGGGAACAGGAGGTCTTTTCATGGAGTTACGTACGCCAAGGAAAGCAGAAGAGACTCAGACACATTATTAACTACAGTATGACAAACCAGCCTCTGGAAAAGCCACCCTCCCCTGAGGTGCAGTTCACTCCCTGTGATCATTAGCCTCAGTAACTTAAACCTCCACTTTGCTGAGCCCTTTCCGTCAGGCAGCTCTGAAACGTCAATCAGAGCTTCAAAGCACCCCAGCCACTCAGCTCTGTTCATTAATATCCTACAATTAACTGTGTCAAAAGCACTCTCCAGATCAAGCAAAATGTTTCCATGCACTCGCCTTTGATCAGGGCCTGAGGAAGCTATCGCAGTCTATGGCTGTGACAGAACAGTGTGAACAGCCCGGGCTTGTCATTCAAGGTTTTCTGCTGCTGCTAACATTCCCACGGATAGTGGCTGACGATCTGTGTTTAACACTGAAGACGCATCTATTAGCGGATTTCATAATGTGGGGCAGTGAGTGTCCTTTGTACCACTCACCATTTCACCTGGCAATGGATGTGTTTTGGGTGGTTGGGTCATTTCTCCTCTCCCTCTCCCAATCCCTGAGTCCCAAGGATTCAAGCTGGTGTATTTTACTGAGACGATTATGACCCCAGAGGCAAGTTGTAATAAAAAGAAGAGGAACGTGGAGACAGGACTGGCAGCAGGTATAAGTGGTATAAGTCAGTGTCGAAGCCGGCACTTAGTCTAAAGCAGTCCCTGCCCCAAGCAGCTTGCAGTTTAACTTAGACAGCTACAGTCCAAACCGTCAGAGGTGGGAGAGAGGCATCAGTCCCAGTCAAAGTTGGCCTGTGGTGGAGGCAAGGGGAATGAATTTTAAAGGGAGATCTGTGAGTCTCAAAGAGGAGCTGTGGGAGAAGACTGTTCCAAGTGTAGGGGCATGTGGGCAATCTTCTCTATACGGGTGGCAGGATGCAATAGAAACACAGACAGCATGCTATGTGCTTGGAAAGCTGCCACAGCTGCAGGATAGCAGAGAGGGCGGTGACCCTTTCCTCCCTTCCAAGTGCCCCTCTGAACATGGCTTTATTCTGGGTCAGTCACAGGGTTATCAGATTCCTAGGGGCTAACAGAATTTCTCCTACTGGTGGTGAGGGAAGTTCACAGACCATCGGGGTCATCACAATACTGTTCACGGCACCCCCCCTTCCTCGTGCCTCGGGGGGAGGATTGCAGCCGGGTTTTGCAGCAGGAGTCACTGAACTCTTAGGCAGCAAAGATCCCAATTTCTCGCCACTGCCCTCAGTGACCAGAGAAATGCAGAGAGTGTGCTAGCGCCAGAGACTGGATTCTAATCAGAATGGTCCTTCCGTGAAGCATAGACATCTCTTTAGGGTTTGGCCCGTTTCTAGAGAGGTGCTCCAGAGGACAAGGAAAAGGAGCGGATGGAACTCAAAGCAGTTTGCAGTGAACAGGCGACACCCTAGAAGCTGCCTCTGATTTACTACGCCAGTGGCTAACAGCGGGGAGCACACAATATGCACAGTGACGTTATTTATAGTGCAAAATAGCACCCAAAAGCTACTACACCCTGGGCGGACGCAGTCCCTATCCTGAACAGTTTACAGCCTCACCAAAGGCTCATCTGCATGAATGCCCGATCTTTTCACAGGCTGACGCTGCCTGGATCGGAAGTATTTTTCCACATTAACTCAGCGTTTCAGCAGCCTCTCTGTAACAATTGGTTGGAGCAGCAAAACAGCAGACCCTGGCAGGGTCCCCAGCCGTATATCTTCCACATGGGCCCTGGGGACCCGTTAACCTTTTATCAGATTTATTGACGCATCTGGGACGTTTGTTCTGAGGGAAACATGGTCCCAAAATGCCTGCAACACCCTCTGGAGCTAATCAACATGATTAAAAGTGTTTAATATTTGGAGCAGCAATAGACTGAATCCATGAATCTTTCCCTAAAAAACTGGAGCTTTCCCAAAAACCGCTGGAGAGAGCTATATCCATCCTAGGCCATAAAACTGATCCGAACAACATTTCTAACAGCCACAGCCAGTGCTTGTCCTCCTTGCATCTTAAGTTTTACAGAGCCATTTGTGGGCAAAGTTGCAACTTCTTAGAACTGTTCTAGGTGCAGCGTGGGCACTTCGGGCATGTTCCAGAACCTGAGAATTAATCCACCAGTTGGGATCAAACAGAACCCTCCCTGCCCCGCCGCCCCGAGCTCTTTCTTTCCCGTTTTGAAGGCAGCATCTGACAGCTGGGGAGTATTCAGTATCACACGTCAATGTCTGAGCATCTCCAACAGCTGGGTCTGCTCTCCTTCCATCAGAGCTGGAGACACCTCAGGATTCCATTTCAGGCTCTGCCTGGGGTCAGCGTCTCCATTGCAGAGCTCTGAATATGTAGTTCTCTGATTTAAAGTGAATGTATTCATTTAGGCTCATATCAGACATCAAGACGCATCTATCCTGAGCTCCAGACACCACCTCTGCCCCAAAAGCCTGGGGAGATAGATGGGTCTTGTACCCTGCCCTGAAAATCAGCAGGATCAAGCCATTTCAGCCAAAGCAAGGAGTCCGTTCCAAAGTGGAGGGCTCCTCCCAGAGAACACTCTGCCATCAATCAGCCTCCTCTTTCTTATACCAAGGGGGTTCCAGCTTCAGCACCCCCAATGCCACAGAAGGAGAGAGCTTACTCTGCAGCATACAGGTCCCAAGCTATTCAGGGGGACTTTGGAGGTAAACACAGACTGCACCTGGAAGCCAACAGGCAGCAGCCAATGCTGACTCTGGAGTCCTTGTGCCATGTACTTCCAACAAAATAGACCACCGTTGCAGTCTGCCGAAGTTCCCTGGGTAGGCCACGTAGCAGCATAGTATGGAGGAGACAAAGACATGGCTTTCGGTAGCAAAGTCCATGTCAATAGCACGCTCCAGGCCAAACAAGGATGAAAAAAGCCATTTTGGTCACTGCAGCTCCACCAGCCTCTAACAGCAACGCTGGACCAACGATTACCCCAGATGGCAAACTCTGACCACACCTGGCAGACACACCTGGCAAAAGAAGGACTTCCCCTGCCAACCAACTCCACCACAGTTTTACCTGCATTGACTTCAGACATGTCGCTCTCATCCACGACCTGTTCTCAGACACTGGGCAAGGCTTTCAACAGCACTGATTGGGTCAGATGAGCTGGAAATATAGCTGGGTGTCATCACATCTCCCCATCAGCCCTCCCAACAGCCCCATATACACACTGAACTGGACGGGAGGCAAGGTGGAACCCAGCCCCCTTAGGGATGCTGAGCAATTGCTCATCACCAGCCATTGGGAACTTTCAGTAAGGAACGAACAGAGTCCCAAGATCATCCTTGTCCACTCCT